TACTTTCTCAGGACACTTGTTAACAACTCTTTTTTTTATAGGAAAGCAATGACTGACGGAACTTTCTATGGTGCTAGAAGTGTTTTCTGTCTGTGCTGGCCACATGTGCTACTCATTGGCTTTTAAGCTCAGATAGTTAGTATACTGAGAAACTGAAGGTTTTTGTTTGTTTGTTTGGTTGGTTTGGTTTATGGAGACAGGGTTTCTTTGTGGCTTTGGAGGCTGTCCTGGAACTAGCTCTTGTAGACCAGGCTAGTCTGGAACTCACAGAGATCTATCTGCCTCTGCCTCCTGAGTGCTGGGATTAAAGGCATGCACCACCATCACCCAGTAAAACTGAAGTTTTAATATTGTTAAAATTTGAAGTATAAATAACCCAATGTGGTTAATGAGCAGAATGAACCAAAGTGAACAGCACAAGGTGGATAACAGGCTTATGTAAGTGACTTTGAAATTGCTACTATCATAAGCTAATGTTAATATTAAAGTGAAGAAACAATGGGTCCCGAAAATGTACATGTGGAAATAGATAAGTGTCACATCTTCTGCAATGACAGACAAATAGAAAATTTCTTTCATACCAGTTTGTTAAAGGAAACAATGACTAGAAAGATAACTCCAGAAGCAGTCTTGTAACTAAGGAACAATTAATTACTGGGACAATTAGATTTTGTGAGAGAAACTGGCTTGGTAAAAGTAAAATGGGAAGGGCAGAGAAGATTTCATCTAAAGAGGATGACTACTACTATGAGACTCGAGCTGGCCTGACAGATTCAAGCCCCCATCTTCTTGTACCCTGCACATCAGCTAAGATTTCCGTATGGTCACTAAGTTTTCAGCATCTGCAGTAAAAGAAGCAGCAGTGAATTTTCGATTAATTCCAATGGTTCCCAGTAACACCCCATTAGGTCTGTAAACAGTCATGATAGACACTTTTTCTATTCTGTTGAACCCCTTGTGAGTATAATAGAAAACAACAAATATTAAATGAATATGTGAGTGAATAAATGATTCAGAGAAAGAAAAATGGAATGGATTTATTCTTTTTTAAAAAAAAAGGTGGAATTTTTTTAAGTTTCATTGCCACTTTCCCATAGTCATTTATTTGTGCCAATAAATGCAAGTTGACCATTATTTATTTTCTTCAATTCTTCTACAGGGTACGCCAGGTTCCTGTCCTTATTAAAAAATATGGGCCTTGCTGAAAGTCAAGATTTTGAACTCTTGTTAGGACTACCATGATGCTTGGAGAGTCTGTTGAATAAACGCCTCTGCATATATTTTGTACTTCCCAAAGCTTTCTACTCAAAGTCATGGGTGATTATCTTGAGGACAGGGAACCCAGGAAAGACCCAGACTAGACTAAACTTCACCAGTTAGTTCATCATGCCTGTAAAATCATCCGTTACCGATAATGACAACACACAGTTGAGAACCAACATGCACAATGAGTTGAGTTCAGGTCAGGATGATAAGGTATCCCCTGCCATGTCCAGGAAGTAATCTGGTAAGGAGAAAGGGGGGTCATCTACCCAAGGAACTTAGTGTGAGCCTTTTGTGTAGCTCACATTGCTTCTACCCAAGGAATTGTTTCTTTGTGAGCCACTGTAACTCTGCTGTTACTCTTATTCTGTGAGTAAACTTAGAAAAATTAAAGTCACTCGATTTAACACCATGGCAAATAAGCTGCAGGAAGGGATTCTCTTTTAGACGTTAAGCCCCCAACTTGTCTTAAAGTCAGTGCTCCTGCCTTGAACCATAATCACCTCATGTGGATTATGCCTTAGCTTTCTTCAGTAGGAGTTCTATATAATATCCCCTTATTTTAAGATCTTATGTGTCTATATTCAATAATAATAAATAAGATAGAAACAATGAGGTATTCCCAGGGTGGGGGGGGATATATACACTTACTTAACAAAAATAAAAAGGAGAAGCAGCTTGAGATTCTGAGTTTATAAAAAAACTAGTATAAGATGGAGAGACAACACAGGTGGGGCTGTTTCGGGATATATAGTACACTGGGTAATTGGTTAGCCATTGAGCTGGAAATAACCAAGGTAAAGTTCTTTATACTAGGGAAGTGGAGTTGTCTAGTTACCCACGTCTGGTGATATACCAATATTCCTGCCTGAAAATTGAATTCTGACCACTAGAGGGTGCTATAGTCTGGCAACTGACTCAGCTGAAACAGCCTGATAGCTATGACAGCTCTCACTGAAGACTTTCCTAAATTATAGATGCAAGATGGCTTCCAGCATCCTACCTGTGATGGTAAAGGACATTTGAAGGGCACCAAACATTAAAGAAGTCTGTGATCGTAAAATTAATTCAATCATTGAATGTTCTAAATTGCCATGTCTAGATAAGTCCACAGGAAAAACTTGATTTGTGTTTTTTAAATATATATAATTATAAACTATTCTCAAATCATATATCTTTGATGGCTCTGATTCCTGGGCCCATCAGAAAGCACACGAATTCTATGTCCACCTCTAGTGGTTACACTTCAAAGGGTTGATTCATGAACCCTTATATCTAAAAAAGAGAGACCATGAGCTTTGATGTGAATATAAAATTTCAATCTATGAAGAGCAATTCAAATAAGTAAAATTGGCTGGAAAGAAACCCCTTAGAACTGGGAGAGTCTTTTCAAACAATTCAAGGGTTAAGAATATTGACCAGCTCAGGTCTAAACAAGACATCTCTATCACTCCCTCCAGAGTTCAGGGAACATTGAGGACGAAGAGGTAGAAATAATGTAAGAGCCAGAGAATGAGGAGTTGTATGAAACTCTATCTGTAGTTACCTACACAAGACCTGTATAAAGTTGCATCCATCAATATTCCATGATGACTGAGGAAGGGTCTTTGAGGTCCCATCCCTCTTTAAGAAGCTATTCACAGCTAATGAGTGTGAGAGGAAGGTCAACCATTCTTATCAAACTTATAGGTCATCATCAAAATAAATATAACAGAGGTGTTTTGATATCAGTGTTTTAAAATATAGCATATTTACTAATTCTCTGAGGACAGTGTGTATACAGTATATTTCGATCATATTCATACATTCCCAGCTCCTCCCTTCCAACTCCTTCTGAGTTCCACTTCCCTAAGTCTCCCCTTCCAACTTTGTGTCTTTTTTGTTTTAATAGCTCAGAGTGCAATCACTGCTGCTCATCCACCTACAAATGTGGCACCATCCACTGGTACTGTCAATCTCTCAAAGACCACACCCCTTAAGAAAATTGACTCAGCCTCCCCAGGGAGCTGTCAGCTGTCAATAGCTCATCATTTAGGGGTGGGTACTTCTGTGGCCTCGCATATTTATGCAGGAATGTTGACTGGCTTGATCCTGTGTAGGCAAACATGGATGCTGTGAGTTCCTAAGGGCAACAACCCTGTCATGTCCAAAAAACAAGTTTCCTCTAATCCTTCCTGACCTCTGGCTCTTAAGGTATTTTCACCCTCTTCTGGAAGAGGGAAAATCTATTTTCTTCAGTGAAGTGATACTGGGTGTTATCAACCTCATTCTAGGGGAGGTCCCATGCTCAGGAACACTTGTTCACACATATAGAACCCCATGTTTTATAGTGGCTCTTTTATCTTTTTCGTTTTGTCTTAGTTCTTATTTTTAAGAGAAAGGGGAAAAAAAACCAAGAAGTTGTGTGGGTGATAGTGGGGGAGGATCTGGGAGGAGTCGGGGCATAGGGAAGAATGTAATCAAAATACACTGTATGAAATTCTCCAAGAATAAATAAAATAAAAATGTCCACCTACCTTCCATGTTTTCTGAGCCTGGGGGAGGGAGGTGCAATATTCATGCCCCATTTATAGCAGAGCATTCCACACAAACTTGTTCTCTGTGCCTTCATCATGTGGAAGTCTCTATATCAACTGCAAAAATATGCTTCTTTGAAAAGGACTGGGAGCTGCACTAATTATGGACATGTATGGTTTTGGAAATCAGTTTGATACTAGGTCAATTTGGCAGAATAACACTAGTAAGTTTATTCCTGGGGCCTATTCCTCAGACATGGATTTTTGGCAAAATTTACAGTACCATGCATGACTAAGCTTCCTCTTGTGTAGCAGACTTCAGATTCAGTATGAAGTAGTTGAATACCCAAAGCACTATGCATGTCTTTATTGTTCCCTATCATATCTTGCTAGAACAGTCAATTTTGTAACTCCTAGTATTCATAACTGAGGAAGATGTTACCTTCCCCCCCCCCAGCATTTACATAGCACTTTCTGGTCATCTAAAAGATAGCTAGCTTGAAGGAAGCTTCTAGGTCAGTTCTAGCCTGATTTCTCTGTGACAAAAATATTTGGTATTTTCCTTCATAGACTCTTATCACAAAGTTATGATGGGCCACCAAGATCAATGGCAAAAATCTGCATTATCTGGAAGGTCTCTTGGATCCCACTAACTGCCAGCTTCTTAATTTAGTCACTTGTGGCTTCTAAGAGAAACATAATTCTAATTATATGGTAATCAAATTTAAACAATATATGAAGTTTGTGAAATAGTGGGTTTCCTTTTGGTTTTCTAAACATCTTCCGCATTGCTTAATCCTCTCCCAAGTTCTTTCTCTTCATTACCTTTTCCATTCCTCTACCCACTTTCCTATCCCTCTTTAATCCCATTTCTTTCTTCATAAAATTTTTGTCTACTATATCTCCTCCCTTAAGATCTTTCTTTTACCTTCCCCTTCTAATAGCCCCTTTCTAGTTTCCTGGCTTCTACAAGCACTTCGAGATAACATACAAATCTAAAAATTCATTTAGTTCTAGAAAGCCAAATGCAAAATATTCTCTCTCACATGTGAATGCAACCATCAACTCATTAGACTTGTGTGTTTGTTCACCAGCTTTTTATATCACATCTAATGGCTGAGGACTGGAAAGGCACCTGAAAGTCCTTAGTTGCTACTCTAGATCTTTACTCATCTTAGATTCCAGAAACTGCAATTTTTGAAGCCAACCCCACACCCTGTGTAGGAGCCATTATCCTATATTAGAAACTGAGACTGTCTTCAAACAGGACTGATCATCTCTTGAGATGTAAATTGCTCACTCAAGAAGCGATAGTGATGAGGACTTCTATGAAGCTGTCCAGGATGTTAGGGTTGAGACACTGCCTCACTCTGCTAAACACAACCAGAAGAATTGCATTAAAAACTTGTAATAGCCTATAAAGGCAAGCTCTCTAGATCTTTACATTTTTACTTTATTAACTTTATTATTAGAAACTTTCAAATAAGCACCATACACCAAAATAAACCAGATGCAAAGTTTATACATCTCAATGAACTTCTATAGAATAGCCATCATGAAGCTGTGGAGCTTTATTCATGCCAGAATTAGAACTAGAAAACAACAATTAGCTTTAAATTCTCTTTCATAATCCTGTTACCTGTACTCAGTCTTTCATCATTCTCTAATATTTTGCCTTTCTTGTTCTCTTTTCTAAATGTTGTATATATTACTGGATGAGTCCTACATATGTGAAAGAATATATGGGAATTTTTTCTTTCTGAGATTGTTTGACATCACTTAATGTTATACATTTTAAATTCATCCATGTTCCTGCAAATTTTATAATCACATTTTGCCTTATACACACTCTCTCTCTCTCTCTCTCTCTCTCTCTCTCTCCATATATACTGAGGTACAAATATCTCTATGGTAGGATATGGGGTTCTTTGGGTATATGCCCAGGAATGAAATAGCTGGGTCATATTGTATTTCTATTTTTCAAGTTTTGAGAAATCTCCAAAATGATTTCCATAATGGCTATATTAATTTGACATGCCCCACAGTAATTAAGAGTCCTTGTCTCTCCACATCCTCTCCAGCATTAGTTATCAGACTTCTTAATGATTGGCATTCCAAATGGGGTGAGGTGGCATCTCAAAGTAGTTTTAATTTGCATTATCCTGAAGGCTAGGGTTATAGAACACTGCTGGCCATTTTTACTTTCATCTTAGAAAACTGTCTATTTATTTGATTTACCCATTTGTTGGTCCTTTGGAGACTCTCATGCAAGTAAAGCCAGATTCTTTGCTTTACTACAAAAAGAATTTCAAGAAGATTCAATACAAGGCAGTTTACTCAAAGATATTTTAATGTAGATTTAGTCATACAGGTTAAAAAGAAGTACTAGGAAAAAAGTAAGAAGCACCTTAGAACATAAGCATATA